GCCGGCGGTCGATCGCGCGGCGAAACACAGCCGGGCTTTCCAGTCGCGTCACGGATTGATTCGTTCGGCCCCGGCGTTCCAAAGCGGGCCCCCGGTCGTTTAGCGTGAGGCCCGCGCGCTATTACTTCCACCACCCTTTCGAAAGAGTTCGAGTTCGAATGCCGGATCGGCGACCCGAGGATTCATCCCCGGCGTTGGGACCGACTATTCGGACAGCGGGCCGCTTGAAAGGTGAGCTGCCCGGGCCAGCGCCGCGTCACCGGGATGAAGACGCCGACGAGGGGAGCGAGGCAAGAAACATGGGCTTCGTCGAAAACTCGTACTGGATGTCTGCCAACGTGATCCTTACGGACTCGGAAGACATATCCAGACGGAGTGCTCCAATGTCCTTACCGCTGGAAGAAATAGGCGAGTTGTGTGAGCGCATACGACTCGAGCGGTCTTCGCTTTGATGGATGTTTTATGGCCTGTAACGGACCTTATAAATGGAGTAAGTTTCACTCCCAACGTTGTGGAAAAGATGGCGAATGATGATGGGCTGTTTTTTTTGTAGGTACTGTTCCCGGATATGCCTAAGAGACTATAAATCTGCCGAATAAAATTGCATGCTTACCGCTCTCAGAACAGCTGGAAGGAGTTCATGAATCCAAAGACCCCACCCGGGCAATCAGAGTTTACCAACATTTTTTTTTGTGGAATCTTTCTCTGCATTCAGAAACGAAAATGATAATTCTTAGAATTAGGTATTTCGTTAAAATAGCTGGAATTAGAATATAAATAAGCCGAAAACCATTTCATAACTTTTAGGTTTTTCTATTTCTCATTATATAGTTTGAAATGGGCGTAATTACTTTAAAACATGCCAGTAACTTTGTCCTGGTTATATCTTTCTTCTACGCACTGTGTTGTATAGTAAAAGTTTTTTATTGCAGACAGAAAGTAATGTTTAGAAAATACGCATTAATGTTTTTCCATAAATGCATTACACAGCTTTATACGATGAAAATTAATCAAAAACAGAGGAAGTTTCGAGAGATGGATAAAGATGTTTTGTTCGTATTTCTCAACATCTCTGATAAAAAATTATTCAGTCGTTTTTCAGTACCATCAATTAGCTAATTCTGTCTCATTGGGTATTACACGAGAAATTCAAATGTTTAAAAGTCATTTGCGTTTTCTAGCAGTACACCGGATTAGCCTGTTAAAATTATGTTCATTGCCGAGTTCCACGTGTGGTCACATCATTATTAACGGCACGTTTTTTCAATAGTGTTTGATGTTAAATGATTTAATATAATTATTAATTTAAATCCTCCTATATTGTTTAAAATAATTACGTTCATTAAAAACTTTTGAAACGCAAAACATTGCAATGCAGTTTTCTAAATGATTAACGTAAGCGGCATCTATCTCGAATGCTTTGATTTTACTTTAATGAGTGTACTCTAGTTACCAAAACCCAATTCAGGCATGATAAAGGAAATCCAAGGGAACAAGTTTGCCGAGACGTAAATAAGTTTTCTATATGGAATTTCCATAAATTGCTTTCAGGACCTTTTGTCATAGTATTGTATAAAAGCGTACACAATATATAGTACAAAAGTAGTGGCGAAACGGATCTACAATACTATGACAAAAGGTCCTGTAAGCAGTTTATGGGAATTACATATAGAAAACCTATTTACGTCTCGGCAAACGTGTTGCCTTGAATTTACTTTGAATGCCTGGATTGGGATTTTGTCACTAGAGTACACTCATTAAAGTAAAATTCAAGTACGCTAGAACCCTAGTAATCCGAAATAATTGGAGATGTGATTTGTTCGGAGTATCTGAAAACAATACGTACGTATACGAATACATCAATAGTATTGCCAGATAGAATGCAACGTGGCGTGCGATGTGAGAAAGTGGCAATGTAGCGTCGCATCAAGCAGATACAGTTCCTTATGGCAAAAGACGTTTACCGATTTTGCAAGTTCCTCAAAGTGAAAATTACTGCTACATAAACATGTGATGTCCACCGTAGCTACCAGTGCAATAAATGTTTCATTTCGACAGCTTGCTTCAATAATCAGTCGCTCAGTTCTACAGTATTTATAAAATCCGTTCTTTACGCTACAAATAGGCATTTTGTTTATTTTGTTATTTTTCTTCCATCCTTTTTGTTATTTAAGGTCGCATCAACTTCTAGGTCATTGGCGACCACTATTACTTGTAACGGTATGGTCACTGTGAGGATGACGATATGATGATGATAGGGGCGTGAAAGGACGAACACAATGCAACCCTGCCCGAGGCGGGCCTCGAACTCGCGATCCTTCGGTCCGAGATCGGTACGGCACTACTGCGTTAGCGATCTCTGCAACCAGTTCAGCTCTTCCATCCTTAATTTTGATCGGATTATCCGAAATTTCGCATTGGCGATATACATACCCACAAAGTTTCCGAGGAAAGTTTATAGGAACAAGATTTATCTTTTCTAAGTGTGAGAAACTCACAATAAGAGTTTTCTTGTCACAAAATCGCGGTTTTTTGCTGCAGCATTTCAACAATCTCTCTATACTACATAAGTAGTATATGAGAGAGCAGAAAGTGCATTAAAAACTCGATAAAATGACAAGAATTTAGGAACTAAAATGTCCTATGCGTGTTCGCTCTTTTTCGTTTCAGTCAGGTGGCGAATGCTGAGTAATGACGTTAAATTACTTACGTAACCATTGACACGTCAGTTAATTGTAGTTAAAACAGAATCGCGGTCTCGCAAATGGTGAAATTAAAGAGAATAGCTACGACTCTCACGTAAATAAGTAAGTGAATTCTTGCATGGTTCTGTAAAATTGAGCGAGAAGAACGTGAAGGTATCGACGAAATTATTTATTGCAATCGTTTACTTAAAAAGTGCAAAGGAAATGTAGAACTTGTCACTGGAACTCGTTATGTATTAAAAATCGCTTCAGTTCTTCCAATTCTATAAAAGTAAACACAATTTTTGTTATTAAATTAATTAAACAGTTTATTCGTTATCAAATGTGGTGTTCAGATTTAAATAATATTATCTGATGTTTTTGATAAAATCGAGTGAATTTTAAATCCCTCTTGCTGCGTTTCGAATAGTAATGAGTGAATCATGATTGCGACATATTTCTGACCATGTTTCAAGACACACATTCTTTCACAACGTGCAATATCGTGATAAATAATCAGTATTTATTACATACGAAATATGGTTGTTCACTTCAGAATAAAACAATTACTTGGATTTGGGAACACAGAATTCTTTACAAGACTTTGCTTCTCAGGATAATTTGGAATACTAAAACAATTGTTTAATGGAAAAAAGTTTTATTAACATAATGTGTGATTTTTTTCAATCTTCTGAAAACAGATTGTCTACTGAGAGTTCTGTCTTTTAGCATTCTATTTAGACTGAAAATGATTGAAGCAAGGTGTGTCGGGAGTAGCTTACTCAGGCATTTCCTGCACACTCCTGGGTCACGTTTTGTCCTAGTCAGAGGGACATTAATCATAATGTTATTTACTAATGGAGCTGTACTTTAAATTAAAATGCAGGAAACAGCGAAATTACACGTTTGTTCTCACGGCCGAAAATTAACCGGTTGCAATAAAACCGTCGTATGATAGAGAATCATTACCCTCGTAAATATAAGATAAATTTCCAGACAGTTTAAACTGTAACAGAATACCGTTTGGTCAAAAGGGCCCTGTCTTTTTCGAAGCATATCTACAAAAGTATATTTAATTGCTTTTCTAATGATAGAATTCTTATGATAGAATTTTCTGATGTCCGGATTTTGATTTATCTTTAAAAAACCTTTACAGTTAAAATATTTAAATAAAATATTCCACCTTTCTCTTATTTAGAATTATTAAGAAAATGCATTATGCAGAATAAGCAAAGTATAAATAATGCGAGAAATTATGTGGTGTTGAAGCCCCGCTAGTTTTATTTTGTGTTTTGTCGCTTATTTATCTCCCTCGGATCCTGAAAACACTATTTTCATTTTGTTAAAACAAATATTTTTATCTATTTATTTTGTTGACGTTTCGATACTATTTGGGATCTAATTCAAAAATGTAGAGCTCGGATTTGTTGAAATCAATTAATCATCACTTATAAATCAGTTAGCATTTTATGAAAAAATCATACACTTTTTGACTTCACATACATGTTATAAAATCATGTATTTGAAGTCACAAACCATAATTTGGCTAACTTCATGTTTGTGACTTCACAAAAATGACCGGTGATTTTTACAACATTGCCTTTTTTTATAAAATCGTAGCTGATTGTCATTATGGGCACTCAACAAATTTGAACCTTAGATAATTGAAAAATATTCCTTCTAGGGTGGAAAAGTCAACAAAATAAATTGTTAATAAATATTTTAGTGTCTGTTTTAATAAGGTCAGAAAACTATTTCAACTAAACAAGATAAGACTTTAATTTCCGTCAACTTAAGCATTTACTTTTTCAGGTGCCTTCATTCAACGGCTCAAGCTATCTTCGCTACCCAGGTCTTGCCGGGTCTGCTCTATCTTGGTTGGACGTACAAATTACGTTGAAGCCCACGGCACCAGACGGAGTTATTCTCTACAATGGCCGACGTTCTGATGGCGTCGGCGATTTCGTCGCCATTTACATGAGTGACGGACATCTCGAGTTTACTTTTGACTTAGGAACTGGTGCAGCAACCATCCGGTAAGTAATGTTTACGTATTCGTGTAGTTTTATAAGTTGCCTGTTGGAGAGTTTGCTGTACTGTTTGAAGCTTTCATATAAGCAGAGTATTAAAATACATATTTAGTATGTTAGTTTCAGCGCTAATCATCATCATTCAATATTCAGTGTGTCATTGTTAAAAATGTGATAATAGGATATTTCGTTAGAGTATTTTCAGAAAAAGTGCCACGTGAAATGTGTGTTTTTATTTCGTAAAAAAATACCCTCGACCATCTTTTCCATTGTTCGAGCAACGATGTCTCTCATTTTATTGTAGAATGGCATATTTTGTGAGATTGGACAGACGTTCTTTATGTGCTGCCACGAAATTACGTAACGAATGGGTATGATTGTCAATCACGTTGTGTATTAAATTTTCAATCCGTGACTGAGCGCGGCACGCATTTCTATTTTGTTAAAAATAGTAGTTTCGTATTCCAGTGAACTCTCAAAAATGTTGCAATATTCTTGTTTTTCGAATCCAAAATTTCAAACAAATATACGTACCACTGCTCTTAATTACAGGAAATATGTAAGAATCATGATTTATTTGCATACATGTTCCAATTTCGTCCTACATGTGTATTTTCCGAGAATGTGTTTCAAATGATTTCGCGAAAAATGAAATGTACCACGCTTCATTTTATTCGCTTGTGTAGTGTAAGTTCAAATATATTTACACATTCCTTTACTCCTCAAAAGAATTCGAAATGTGACCATATTATTTCAACCGATGTCAGCGATATGCATTTTTTTTTAAAAACAAGTATTGCAATGCACATTACTAGCATGAATGGAATTAACATATACTGTATAAGAGAGGGAAGATTGTTATACATTTCTGTGAGAAATATTTATATTTACGAGATTTTATTTTTATATTTTTCATTATTTTTGGTTAATTTGCGAGAAGTTCTGTGAGTGTCGTGAGGGCCTAGGAGCCTTGCAACACGAATCTCCCACACTTGTAGGAGACTTCCCTTTATCAGATGGGAATATATACACGAGGATGGGAGATCAGCTCTAATGATGTGTGTGGGGACAGGATCGTAACAAAACGATCCGCGACTGTTGTACAAGTTGCTTCTGTGTCACACTCATGGAAGCGGTTCAGAATCTACGGAAACTACACATTAGATTAATCGAAAAACCAATACGATCGTGGCAGGAACTATACTGTCACTAATATTTTAATAATTTCTGCGAACGTCCTGCATCTGTCAAGATCAAATTCAGTATATTTCAGTATTCGGCGTTCCCGTTGCTTAGTAATGCTTGCAGCTACAGCTCGACGTGTGTAAAATTTTCTTTTGCCAATTTCATTTTAAAATGATGTTATCCCTTTACTTTCCTCAAGTGGGAAATAAATAAGGAAAATATGTGAGTTTTTAACCCATTCAGAGCACATTCAAGTTAGTTCTACATCATTTTGAAGTATGACTTTTCTCTGTCTTTATTGTGCTGGGAATTTTTTTACTAAGAAACTGAGCATGATCACTGACCTTTTATTCCTCGCAGTTATCGATTTCTTGAAAAAGTTCAAAGAAAGCTCTTTATTAAAATTTGTTATTGGCATATGTGAGAAAATCCTGCAATATTTCTCTAATTGGTTGGTAAAAGTAATACAATTTTCTCGTATTTTTATGTATTCCGGAACTTGCTGAAACCTCTTAATTACTCGGTACGTTAGTTAGTTCCTTACTAAAAGATTCCAAGCATCTACTCTACATGAATTAAGTAAAACTAAGTATGTCCATAATCCATAAGTGAGAGTAAAAATTCAACAATCAGCATTTTTACAGAACTTCGTAACAAGTATAGTAATTTTAATTATTATACGTTCAGCAGCAAAGTGCATCATTATTTTTTGTACAACAGAATTCAAGAGGTTTAAACAATGAACTTTTTTTCGTCAGGAAATCTTTTGAGACAATGACGTAGGTGTTTCTTAAAATGTTTTATATATTGTCGTTCGGAAATGTCGGTCTAGTTCTATTCGATTTAGTGTGCTCCTATCTAAATAAAACTATACAAATAATGGTAAACCAGGTGTTTTGACGTAAAACTATAATGCCATTCTTTAAACGTAGTCTCGGAGGCAAGGCATATTTAGTTCGTTGTGAATTTGATGTTAATGTACCACGAGATTGCATAATTGAAGACACACCAACGACTTTATGTTGACCGGTTTGTAGTTTATTAATATTAGATTTTGCGGCGTCTATCCGGGAAGGAAGGCCTAGCATACAACACAAATATACTTATAAGTTTATGCATGAGTGATGTTTTCATTTGCAATGAAGATTAATAGTTTAACAAGGGATATAATTTAGAAAGTTCCTAAATGAACGTACCTTATACTTACGAAAGTACCTTTAAGAAAATTTGGTTGATGTGTGATCTATTTAAATTAGTGAGTATTATTAGTGCATCCCGACATCATAAGTACGCTAGTGAAGCGTAACTTAATTTTTTCAATTAATGCATTATAAATATCCACTGTTGAACTCGTAACATTAATAATTTGCCGAATAAAAGTTCTATGAAATATTTATGAGTTTTGCAACGTGCATTCATATACGATGTAATAAAAATGTGTATAACGCAAGGTCTGACAGTGAGCTACAATAGTCCATAGCGCAAAATGCAACGGTCATCATGGTAGATAACGCCAAAGATGAGCCCAGTGAGGTAATGCATTGTATTGTTTCGTGACAAGTACCAGCACTGCAATGAGTGTTACATTTTTCATATTGACAATGCGTCAACTATCGAGCCACTCAATAAGCAATGACGCCAACGCAAGCAAAAATTTTCACAATAAGACATCCCAATATCCCACTCCAGCTACATATTCACAATTCCTCTAGTACGAAACAAGGCAGCTGCCTAGTGTATAGAAATACCAAGGTTGCTGAAAAACACACATTTACACGACGGGAGCAAATGTATACGAACTTTATGAAGTAACTAACAAATAGTTATTCTTTACAATAGAAACCGGAACAGTAATTCTTAAATCTATTATTAGACCTGTGATCGATATCAGGAAATACAGCTAAATGTAATGTAACACTAGAAACTGTACAAAGAAAAGCAGTGAAAAATATTATTAAACTCTCATGGTTTATTACTAATAAGCAAATCCATTATGAACTATAAATTCCTTCAATTAAATAATACATTTTCCTACTTTTCCCAAAATTATCTTCATCGTGAGGTATATCTCTTAGCACCTCCGTATTCATCTTAAATGAACAAAAGAACTGAACCTTCGCAGAAAATCACGCTTCCTAATGGGTTGAGACTACAATAATTCACTCCTGATAAGCCTTCCACCTTTTTAAAAGCCTTCAACCGTAACACAAAGCAATCACATCTAAGAACAATCTCAGAAATATTGAATTCATTTTGCCACAAAATGAAAACTTTGAAAAATGAAAACTAAAAATAACAATCGCTCCTAGTTACATCAAATCAAGTAAATCAAACCCGTGGAGGGCCCCCACGGTGAGGAAATAAAGCAAAAGGCATGACTGTGTCAATTCCCGATCCTCAGAAAACATGCACGTTTTTGAGCAGCAAGATAATAATTGTTTGAAGCTGTTACGCCTTAAAAGTGAGCGACGTGGACGCGTTTGATCGTCGGAATCGAAATGCGCGGCCGGTGCGCTCCGCGAGCGAGCGTCAAACCCCAATCGGAGGCCCTCCAATCTGTAACGCCGAGGCTCCGACGCCCGGGGAACGACCTGGTGGGATGGGGCGCGTAGCGGCGACGCGAACGGAAACGTGAAGGTCAAAGCGGTGACAGGCGACCCGCAGTAAACAAAGTTTCCATTCTACACACAGCTGTATCAGTGGGATTTATAAAACTTTGAGGCAAAAGAAAACTGTATTTCGATGAATTTTCTATGTACAATTGCATGGCGCCAGCGCAAGGCATCAAAAGCGACACGTAAGGCTTCTGTTTCACATGTCCTTTGAAAAATTAATTCGTTCAGGTGAGACCGTTTATTGGTTTCGACAACGAAACGAAAGGGTTTCAAAGTTCAAAATATATTATTGAATGATGTTTAATCATGCAGCTGGCAATATTTGTGAGGCCGGGCTTAAAAATTTAGAAGTTATATTCTGATATAAGTTTATTATTTATTGAGTCACCTCTTTAAATTGTCTAATATATATTTTATGATAAAATAAATAATACATTCTATGATAAGAAGCGGTCACATTGAAAGATAAAGTTATAAATATAGTTCTTGACAGACAAGAGTTAAATTATAAAATACTAAAACAGAAATGCATTTTAAAAATAATTTGTTTGGTGCTCTACTTTTATTTCTTGGTTTTTATACAGTTTTCCTCGTTTCAATTCAAAGTTTTTCAAAGCAATAATAATTAGAATCCAGAACATTCGCATTGAATATTCTTTAATGCCGTTGTAGCAATTGGAATCACAAAGCGTTTGCTTGTTTTTGTTGGGAGTCGAGATTCAGTTCAATGTGGCGCCGTGGAAGTAGACATCGGTGCGAGTTGATTGAGGGGCTGGGTATGAAAGAGATGAGTGGAAAATATTGGTGCGGTTGGGAGACAATGGGCTGGGGGTTAGAGAAGGTTGTGAAAGAGGCAAAAGTAGTGGAGGTGGCTGAGGAAGGTGGCTCTGGTCACTGGACAGGCAAGGAGCGCTGAACAGGATGTAAGCGCTCCGACGCAACACCCAGCCGCAAGGAATCCAGGAATTGCGGCGCAGTGGCAAAACGCCCACGGTGGGGGAGGCGGCAGCTGCAGTAACGGGGGTGTAGAGATGCGGAGGACGGCGGCAGCTGAGGCAGCGAGGGGGTGAGACGGGTGAGCGGCAGCATCAGTGGGAGAGAGAGGGGGGAGCGGGGGCGGCAGCAGTAGAAACGGGGTAGAGGCAGTGAAAGGGTGAAATGGCGGGAGCGGCAGCAACAGTGGGTAGGGAGTAAAAAAGGGAGAGA